ATAATAATAATAATAATAATAATAATAATAATAATAATAATAATAATAGGACTAAATCACAAATGCACTGTTTGATTCAAGACAATTACTGCTTTGGAAAAAAAATTGTTTCTCAATCTATTAGTCCTCATTTTAAGACACCTATAACGTCTCCCTGATGGTAACAGTTCGAAATATGAATGTCCAGGATGAGAACGGTCTGTGGAGATTTTTAGTGCTCTAGAGAGGAGTCTGGTCTTCGCAATCTCTTCCAAAGAAGAAAGAGAGCAACCAATGATTTTTTGTGCTGTGTTTATAACTCTCTGGAGCATCTTCTTATCCACTGCAGAGCATCCAGCATACCACACCGTTACACAGTATGCCAAAATGCTCTCGATGGTAGAACGGTAAAAAAGTTATGTTGCCACTTTTTCTTTAAAGCTTTTTCGGCTTTTCTTTAAAGCTGAACTTTAAGGCTCTCTAAGGCAAACAAACTGCAGAAAGATTTCCAGGAACAGCTTTCAATCTTGTGAACATGAAATGGAATCACAGCCCACCACCCCAACTTTGCAAAGAGACAAAGTGAATTCAGTAGAATTTGGACCAAGAAGAATAGAAAAGCTATTTTTGAGGATGTGAAATAATAGTTGGAGCTGTTTTCAATCAATCAATCAGAATAGAGCTGGATGGGACCTTGGAAATCTTCATAGTCCAATCCCCTCCTCAAGCAGGAGATTGTTCTGACCCAAACACTTTTCTAATAAAACAAACACAAACCAAAGGGAACAGAAACCTTTTAATGATTCTTATGAATCCCCGGTTAAAAGGCTGCTGCAAACCAATTAACTTTGATAAGTACGAGCCTCGCCAAAACTCTGTGAGGCTGCCAAGAATAACAAATAAGGTTACCTAGAAATATTTTACAATATAAAAGTCTTCAAATACCAACTAAGATACTGCAATGTCCACTAGGCTCGAGTTTCAAAACGTCTTTGCTTCCCGCAAAGAATGTCTAATTCACAGCTGGCTTTTATCTTCTTGAAGGAGGGGCCATTACCTTGCAGCCTTACTCCTGAGTCGCCTGTGCAGCTGCAGCTGCTCTTTCCTGCGAGCAGCCCTGCACGCGCACTTGGCACAGGCTCCTCAGAAACCTCCTCATTGCTGCTGCCAGCCTCCACAATCTCTGAAGGCGGCAGTCCGCTCCCTAATGGTCCCGGCTCCTCATCTGAGTCCTCGCTCTCCTCAGCTGTCCGCACCTGCTCCTGGCTAACCACAACAGAGACAGATGGCTGTCCAGTCTTTTCTTAAAAACCTCCAGTGATGAACCACCCACAACAGTGGTGGGATTCACCCTTTTTTACTACTGGTTTCATGAGACCGCGCGCAGCATCCATAAACCACCGATTTTAAGTTTTGAAACTGACCTTGTATTCAGCTCTGGTGAGTAAAACAGCTGAGGTGCGGCAATCCGCTCTGCCGCGTGAATCAGCTAAGCTCACAAACGAGGAAATAAAGCACAGGAATGGGCATGGGTGGGTGGGCAGGGCCAGCTGCTCACCGGCACTACCAGTTTGCTAGAACCGGTGTGAACCGGCAACATCCTACCACTGACCTACAACTTCTGAGGCAAGCTGTTCCACTGGTTAGTTGTCCTCACCGTTAAGAAGTTTCTCCTTAATTCCAGGTTGCTTCTCTCCTTGATTAGTTTCCATCCGTTGTTTCTTGTCCTGCCCTCTGGTGCTTTGGAAAATAAGTTAACCCCCTCCTCTTTGTGGCAGCCCCTCAAATACTGAAATATGTTGTTGTTGTTGTTTCTCTTATATTTCGCTTACTTGGTGACAAGGTGTGAAAAGGCAATTCATAAGGGAATAATTATAAAGTTACCTGTCGAATTTTTGCAAATAGCATAGTACCAAACTAGACATTTTCTGGGTGGCTCTTGATGTGAAAACACTCTGCTGTTTGATACTTTATAAGACATTTTAAGGTGTAGGCTAAAGATAGATTATTGACTACAATGAACCGGCTGATCATTGGGATACAAAAAGAAAATGGTCCAATCTGACATATGTTCTCAGTACTGGTTGAGGATGCCAAATAGTTTCTTGCACATACATTATGAACGTTCACTTCTGTTTTAGCATCTATTCTTGCCTTTGTCTCCCTAATTTTT